CCCCCCCCCCCCAATTATCGTTCTGGCTACGGCACTGATTGTTTTGCTAAGATCTTGGCTTTTGTCTAGATATGGTCGATTTGACATTTTTCATACAACTATACATGTATATATAGCTTATTTTTATAGAATTTCCTGTTGACAATTTTATGGAGTGGAGACACCTTATAGGAAAGTGGTGTCAAGGAGGCGTAGAAAATCTTTCCGGACATTCGTTTTGACATCCGTACAAAATGGTGGAGTAAACCATGTTTATTGCTCGGTTTCTTCCTGACGTGTATGGGTGTCAGAGTGAGCTGCATAATCTAGCTTGTATTGGTTATTTCTCCGGTTAAGGGCCTTTTCGCGAGAGATGTTTCGAATGATTGTTTGCTGGATGAAAGTCGCGAGTTTTTTGTTGATTGATATATACAGCTCGTTGTGAAATGGTCGAAGGTGGATGTTGGAGTATAGTTTTCGATATTCTAGCAAATGTACGGTTTGATGTTTATTTTAAGTTTATTTTATAAATTTCACTCAAATTTCGATCAACACATCGCGATTATTTAACATGCACGTTCTCTTCTGATTAACTGTACAGAAGTGTGCCATCAAACCGCATATTTCCAAGACATCACTTTTAACCTTGCTGACGGTAGTTACCAACCCTACAGAAAACTGAACAACGACCCACTACTTTACAAATCAACAACTGTTCCAACCATCTACCTTCGATTATTACACGTCAACTACCTGTACAAAAACAAAAGACTCGGGACTTTCATCCAGAGACAATCATTCGAAACATCTGCATCTCTCTACGAATAGGCCCTTAAGCTGGATTATACAGCTCACCATAACACCCCAAACACGTATGGATTAATCCATCAGATAGTAGTAAGAATGGCAGAACGAATATCGGTAAATATTTTCTACGCCTCCTTGACACCCACTTTCCTAAGTCGCCTCCACTCCATAAAATCTTCAACAGGAACATTATAAAAATAATCTAAATCAATCACAAAACACTATTGCACGTTTATGGTCGGCACAGACGACATCGAATTGCGCCATAATATAATCACACTGAATTTTATGAGAGGTGATTACCGCCATAATTCAACATGTATATTATGCAATTCAATTACGCATTTCACTATATGACACTCCGAACTATTGCTAATTTCTGATCCATTGACTTTCTTAACCAAAATTTAATCAGTTTGTCCTTGGCCAACGTCCATTAGTCCCACAAATTAACGAACTACAGTATTACAATTTATTGAATATTTTGACTCGAATCGTTGTGTCATCCTGATATAAACCCTGGTTAAACCGTTCAACCCTTGTGCAGTTTTCTTCTTGTTTTACATGTAGAATTTCGTTACTCTGCAGGTATATCATGTTGACTGTGGAAAATGCTTTTACATGAACAATACTGATGGTAGAAAATTATCAGAACAAGGTTTTGAAGAAGCATTGAGGATGTTTTTCGATAATGGCGAAATATTTCGCTGCGAACTTATTTGCTGTTTTATCCAAAAACTTAAAGCTGTTTTGGATGTCATGGAGAAGGACTTGTGCTCTTATCGTTTCTACAATAGTTCATTACTGCTTGTTTACGAGGGAGAAGGGGCGAGGTATTCAAGAATAGGGAAAATGGATTGTTTTATGAATCCTTCTGATGATAATCATTCTACACTTGATGGATCTTTAGAGCAATGTACATGCGAGTGCACTAGTGAACAAATGGACATCCGTATGATCGATTTTGCACATGTATCCCGTGATGATAGTCACGCAGACAAATCTAGCCGTGACACTTGCCCAGACAAAGGATACATTTTTGGACTCAAATCTCTTATCAGAATACTGCGCAAGATCCAGGAAGACCATCATCGAAAGAAGAATTTAGAATTTGTAGGTTTAACGGACAATGCTGAAAGAGATAGTGTCGACTCGTAACATCACTTTCACAATTACCATGGATGCTTAGTGTGTATTCATCGTAATAGGTATACATCCACACTTAATTAACCCATTCGGAATTCCATCGTTATTGCAAATTTGTTGGGTTTTAATTTGATATTATGTTATGATTTCGTACATGACGTTGTAGTGCAGCCTATGTAGGGAGGGACAAGTTGCATGGCCTGCAATAGGTGACTATGCAATACAAAGGTTTTTTGGACTAGGCTTGGCAACAACTTTTGTTCATGCTCTATGTATTAATAGTCTGTCAAGATATGATGGTCTAGGAGCCCGGCAAACTTCAAAGCTGCAAAATATAGAAGGTCTTTGTTTCATAGTACCTCGCCCTGCACAAATCCTTTGTCTCAACTTCATTAAATAATACATATTCATCGTGGTTGCACGTTTCATCCAGGGTTGCCAGATTGCTGAATAAATAAGCCAAACATTGTTATAAACGGCCCGTGGATGTCTTTGTTTAACAAAAGGTTATGATAATTCATAACCTTTTGTTAAACAAAGACATCCACGGGCCGTTTATAACAATGTTTGGCTTATTTATTCAACAATGTGGTAACCCTGATTTCATCAGCTACCCCTATTGGGCGATTACTTCAAAAATTAACGAGCTCAATCACCGTGACCGTGCAGTAACATAAACCACTGACATAAACTCAGACCAAAACGTAACACAATGACTTCTGTTAAGTTTCCCGACCATTTTATCTTTGATCCACGGTTCGAAAAACAAAGGGAATAAATCGTTAACTGCGTAATTATAGATATTATATATAATACATACAGTATTAACAAACCAATTATAATGATAACTGGAGTTATTACCTTCGTTATCTTCGATTATTAATCTAATGTATAATGATAAAAATGTTATTTAATGTAAATGAAATTACAACTATATTTACTCATAATTTATGTTTTATTATAATGCCAAAACTCAAAAGCATATTGAGACTTGTTGCATGTACGAAATGTATTAAAATGATGATGATGATTTTATTGATCCATACTATAGTGCATGGACCAGGGAACTGCGCGTGACTGAGTTCGATATTGTGCAAATCGTTAAACGTTCAAAACCTTCGAGATTGTGACGTGATAAACAAATAACTAGACACTTGTGAAACTAATGATTCTCGAAGTTGGCAGCGTAGACTGAGTTCGCTAAATGTTTTGCTTCAATTTGGTCATGCAAGATACTTTATCCGGGCAAAAATGTGTCTAGACTCCAGTGCCGTGTATAAATGAGGTGCAAATCTGGACAAAGCTTAGATAACTAAATGAAATGCGCAGTTTTCAAAATTATTTCTTCGCATTCGAATTCGACAAATAAGTTAAATGTCCCACAATATTTAGAATAAACATGCCGTGCCTAAATTTAACTATTGCCGTACATCAAATTTTTCGGTACATGCCGTGCGTGACATTGCAAAATATTGCTGCATGCTATACGTATACAGTCGTGTACGTGCCGTGTAAACGGGACTTATTATGTTAAGGTAACAAATTATCTGAATTGTTGCTAGGTTGATGCAGTTTCATCTTGCTTAGTCATTAGCGGAGTACTCTGTGCTCCGCTAATTTTATATTAAGGGACCGGTCATTATTTATGGCGGGGGGTGGCACCAAAGGGAAATGTTTTTCGTGGCAAATATTTTGCTGACCCAACCATTAAAAAGTCAAAAATTTGATTACCCAACCTCAAATATCAAATAAAAAATAAATACCCACCCCTGGCCAAAAACGTTACAAAAGGTTACCATTCAGTTGTCACATATATCCTTTACCATTTCTGTGACATGAGTTTGATAACGGATTGTGAAATTTTCTGCAGTTTAAAGTTTCATATTGTCTGCACAGTCATGTACTTTCTTTGGAGATACCACTTGTCTCCTAACAAATCGGAAAATGATCAAGACAATGCCTATGATTGATTCACATATTTTATTGACATATGGCTATAACTTTTTATTACCCAACCCTTGAATTGTTTTGTTTTTCATTTACCCAATTTTCTACTTACTCAAAATTTTGTTTACCCAACCATTTTCTCTTCGGTGCCACCCCCCGCCATAAATAATGACCGGTCCCTAAAAGGGGGGGGGGGGGGCATAACATTTTTACGGCACGATTTTTTTTCAGTCATGTCTCATGTTTTTTCAGTCATTTATTCATTTAACCTCTGCAAGAATTTTTTTTCAAGACTATTTGCACTTTGCAGTTTGCTTGCACGATTTTTTTTCTCTGACGTAATGGCTGCGCGAATTTTTTCCAGGCATTTTTCTTTGCACGAATTTTTTTGGGGGAATTTTCACCCCCCCCCCCCCCCCCCCCCGGGATTTCTAATGGTACATTTTCTCTTCACCCTGTAACTTGCAACTAGCGACAGGAATTGCGGCGACCACTCATTGGTTGATAAACATACCCACAACTCGTTGCCAGAGATAAGATAAGATTACATAAGATAGCATAGTATCTAGCGCTACGCGCAGATACAAAAATAGCCCCTTGAGGTACACCATAAGCACACAGCCATAAGTTATCAGTAATGGGTCTGACATGACGTAGAGTTAATACAAATTGATTGAAAACGGTCTGTTAAGTAGCTTCTAAACCAGTTTACTGTTGACTTGGAATGCGGTCATAGTGTTTATGAACTTTATGAACAATGGAAACAGAAATTCTTTAGCTTTCCTTACATTTTTCAAAATATCCTTAGATGTTACTTCAGTGTGGGGCAGTTAAACAATGGGAAATAACCAGCCTGCTTTGCGCGCACTCGGGCTTTCAGAACCGGAAATCGGGCTGAGTCGGCCTCAACGGCCTTTGATTGATTGATTCTTCCTTGAAACTCCATAGAGAAATTCTAGAGTCAAAATTTCCTTGAAAAGGAAATTTTCTTGAAATTTTCTAGAAAGTGGAAACGCTGGAGGAAAGCCGCTGGAATTAAAACGCGGGCTCTCCCACGTCGACTTGTTAATTTTTAACCAAGCAGCGAAGCTTCCTTGCCTCGACGTGGCAATTTCTATATCTTTTCATTCTTTTGGAGTTCGAGTACAAACCAAAACACGTGAGTTTAACACTTTTAATTTTATTTTTTTGTTAATTCTGCGATCCGAGTTCGCGTTCATCTTCATATCGTTCATCTTCATATTTGGCAGAAATCAGAAAATATGGGCCCTCGTTGCTTGGCATAATCATAAACACGAACGATGCGTATAGGCTAGTTGTTACAGGTCTGCAAACAAGTTGTTACAAATCTGTTTACAAGCTGTCAACACGTTGTCTTCGCACTGCTTGTTCCCAGTTGTTGTAACAAGTTTGGAACAAGATGTTAACAACTTGTAACAAGCTTGATGGGATTATCAGACTTGTCACAGGGTTGTTGTAACAAGTTTGATACAGTCATGATAAAGAAGAATGTTACAAGATTGATGACACAAGGTTGTAACAATATTGTTATATCATGACTGTATTGGACTTGTTGGAACAACCTTGTGACAAGCCTGATAATATCAACAAGGTTGTTACAAATTGTTAACAGCTTGTTCCAAACTTGTTGACAACTTGTGACAAGCAGTGCGAAGACAACTTGTTTACGGCTTGTTGACAAACTTGTTACAAGATGTGAAATTTTTGTGTGTGTATGAGTCACACAAGCACGCATACAATATTATATTACTGTGCTACATTTAACAAATATAAAACATTTTCCGTGTTGATATACAGTTACCGTATATCAACACGAGTGGAAATTGGGAAAACAAGAAATTGTGTGGAAGAAATATAAAGAAAGAAATTTTCCGACGTTTCCGTGTTGACATTGAGTTATATCAACACGGCTCTTAGCCAATCAGCGTTCAGAATTTACAAATGCAATATTATAAATTATATTACTGCAGTTATATTTAGTGATCACTGAGCCAATGGAGCAGAGCATGTACTGTTCCGTGCATAAGGCTGGAGTGAGGATACCAATTCTGCTCGGCTATTTACACTGTCACAATCTCTTACCTAGAGCCATGTTCCAGTGACCCTGGCCACACAGGATTGAAAAATCATCCTGATTGGTCGATCCGTGAGCTGTTGGACCCATACCCCCTGTGGCGTTCACGAGCGTGGCCAATATGAGTGAATACAATATATTTTGCATGGAAATTTGCTTATTTTGATAAATGTTTTGTTACTTTTCACCCTGAAAAGTGGTGAAGTGATTAACCCATTGAGCCACAATGCACCCCAGTGCACCCTACTTATTTTTTTACTTGTCTAACGCCAGGCGTTTTTACTTGTCAATGAGGAAGCTCTGCAGCTTAATGGGTTAACCCTTTAAGTGGCAATGTGCCCAGATGCGCCCGACTTCATTATTTTACTATGTCTAACGCCAGACGATTTTACTTGTCAGGAGGAGAATGCTGCCACTCAATGGGTTAATCAGACTATCGGCCCATGCACCCTGTTGACAATTTCCCCATTTTGTACAAAAAATATTTAAAAAATTAAAAGTATCCAACTGGTGCAAAACCTTTGATATCATGATATCCAGTGCAGAGCGTACAGAGCCATTTGCATCATAATGCAGGATTGTGGTTTATATAATAACTACAGTGAAACACACAATTTGATTGGTCAATAGCCATGCAGGATCAGGCTATCCTGCACAAGGAATTAAAATGCCTTCGCGGGATTCTCAAAATTTCACAACCTCGTACCCAGGCTAATTGTCATTGTTATATAGTTAGTGTGAACACCAAAGTGATTGGCTGATTTGCAGTCACGTGGCTTTAGATAAATGCAATGTATCCCGCCTGGGCAATAAGTGAAAACTGGTTGCCCGCCCCGACCGGCTACGTACATAAATAAACAAAATGGCGGCACAATTTTATACTATTTAAACTACTGTTTTTGTGGCTTTGTGTTAAAATAAAGAATGTAAAAGAGAAGAAAAATACATAACAGGCAACAGGATATGCTGCTGAAACCATTTAAGTAGGTTTTTTATGTATTGTTGTATGAATGTTGTTCAATGTTGATATTTGTTTCGTCGCTATATAACAAAACACTTAACGTCTTTTCCCTCGGGAAATAGTTAGTTTTGTTTTCCCTCGAATCTCAATGTTTCCCTCGACTTCGTCTCGGGAAACATTGAGATTCTCGGGAAAACAAAACTAACTATTTCCCTCGGGTGCAGACATTAAGTGTATATTGTTTCACTGTAGTTATTTTATAAAACAATTACCAAATCGTTTTCCGAGCAGGAGAGCGTCATCCATGCACTTGGGATGTTGCTCAACTTTCGGAAAGCGTAAAAATACACTCGCCTGCGGCTCGAGTATTTTTACACTTTTCGAAAGTCTCGCGACATCCCTCGTGCATGGATCACGCAATCCTGCACCACAGAATAAGGCACACAGAAGGTCGACTCAAGCACAGAATAAGAAGGTACAGCAGAAGTGTAACTCAACCAAGTATTTGTCCGCGTTTTTACAAGCGATTCGTCATCAATCACACCATCCTGGCTAGTACAACCAGCACTTTGTACCTACCAAAACCTGATAAAAACTTCCGGTTGTACTAGCCAGGATGGCGTGAGCGAGTTAAAATTTTCGTGGACGTAAAACAATAAGGGAACCGACTCGAGTGACGCTTCTGCTGTACCTTCTTATTCTGTGACTCGAGTAACCACTGCCACACCATGATTCATCATCAAAATGCTGACGCCATGGTCCTAGCCAGTGCGCGTTTGAGAGGCGTTCCCCCCTGGACGTCCGCCATTTTGAATAATATCAGGGGTGTGAATGCCTCTCAAACGCGCACTGGCTGCGACCATGGCGTCAGCATTTGATTACGGATTACGCCAAAATCATAGGAAAATGATAGGAAAAACAAAGAAGTCGGCCTTCTGTGTACACCTTAGTCTGTGCCTGCACGGAAAACGATTCGGTATTCCTTTATTCATGATCTCCAGGGCACTAGTAGACATGAATAAATTAAAGTAACAGGCTGAAGATATGAAGCTTAGACGTTCTATTCATAAATTAATATTTTATTTTAAGATTGTTAACAATCTTGTGCCAAATTATTTAAAAGAACTGTTGCCTTCTCAGGTGCTCGAGCGGACTCATTATTCTTTGAGATTGCAATCTGATTTTACACTATTCCAGTGCGCACTGAGCGTTTTAAAAAATCTTTCCATCTGCTACCAAACTGTGGAATGGGCTAGATACATCTGTAGACTGTACGTAATCAGCTTCCGTCAATTTTTCATTTCAAAAAGGTTTTGTTAGACATTTTCAATCTTCAACTGAGTCCAACCCTATTTAATTATTCTCTTGATAGATATTCATCTATCATTCATACTCAAATACGTTTGAACGCAGAACGCTGTGCTTTAAATTATAATTATTACACTGGCCGCAACCAGTGTCATAATTTGCCCTTGCTTGAAAATGCTGTCTTTTTCGGGGGTTTTTTGGTTGTCGCAAGTGTGACTTTCCATTCCGGCATCGTGGGCTCAGTATTGCGCAATTTAGCTAAAACATGCTCACGACGATTATTAGGACCAATTGTACACAATGTTAATCAGAACGACTTTCGTATTTAACTACGTTGCCAACCTCGTTCCCAGGGCTTTAGTGTGAGGACGAGGGGAGAGACAAGGAAGCCCTGGTCTGGGCCGGTCACGTGACTACCCAAAAAATGGCAGTATTTGACAGCTACTCGTCAAGGAGTGGCGAGATATTCTTTAATGAAATATGCAAGTCTTCGAAACAAATAAACAGCGCCAAAAGACTTCTCAATCGATATTATTTATGTGTTGCGACGTTTGGCACGAATCAGCTGAAATCTCTGAAGACCCCGTCTATGTTTTCTAAGATATACCGATATTTCTGGAGATTTTCAAACCACAGGCAAAGCTGCATCCAAGCTGCATCTAGGTGTCTCCATGCAAGTGGTGATTCACACGAAATTTGCTTTCTATCGTCTTGAACAATATGGCTATTGCCTTTAATATTTAGTTTAAATATGCTCTTATAGATCTGACTTAGTTTGATATAAATAAACACAAATATAAAACCTCGGGTAACCTGTTTACGCTGTACAGGAATATACGGATTCGCTTGTTTCGCCGGACACCAACACTTGCCGTTCAGGAGCAATGCTTGCCTACAAATTTTATCCCCTTCTGCCTTCACAATCTATGTTTTATTTTATCGTATAGTCGCAATTTTCAAGTATTCGGGGTATTCTGAAACTGTAAAACTTGGTGGCGTGACGAATCTTGTACAGTTGTAGAGACTACATCGGCCTAGGCGTAGAGCTATTAAGTTTTAAAACAGGGCCTAAATTAATTTAGTAGTTTCATTTAATTGTTTGTCTTGCTTTTATTTGTCGATCAGTATAGAATATTGTAAATTAAAATATTACTACAATGCAATACGCGTAGTATTTCATCAGACGTCTGCACTACATTAATATAATATTGTATAAATACTGTACAGCTTAAATAATAGTAGACGTTTCTTGTTTTGTCAGGAAACATCACAGCTCACGTCGACACGGCTTTTGAGTTTTGTAACCGGCCGAGGCGAAAGTAAATCATGCAGTCTGGAAAACGTCTTACTTTGAAAGATTACTTTGCAAAACATACTCATACACACAAGAATCATAAATATACAAAATGTTGGATTGTTATTGTCAATTGTCAAGTTCAGTTATTTTTAGACAATTAGACAATATGGTGACAATTAGACAAAATGGTGTTAACCAATCAGAATGCAAAATTGACCGGCCCAGACCAGGGCTTCCTCGTCTCTCCCCTCGTCCTCACACTAAAGCCCTGGGAACGAGGTTGCTACGTTACAAATCGTAGACGCTGTAATTGTGGGACGTATTTTATTATATTTCATTGCGCATGCGCTTGAACTTTTCTGTGTTTTTCGATATGATATCGCTGAATTCTATTGGTTTTGTATGGATTTTTATTGTGCCGTCCTCTGAATGTTTGTGATCATGAAGTGACGGCCGTCAAGAAGTGAAAAACATCTACATGTTTCAAATTATTTTTTAGAGTATTGCGATGGTATTTTACCAACCGCGAGGCCAGTGTGAACGCCTGAGCAGGCGTCTTATTTATTTAAAATTGGTTGTAAATCATCTCCAAAATGTACTTGTAGCATGTGGTTTTGAAATCGAAACTGCCGTAGTAATCATTACTTTTTACATTGTCCAATTTTCGCTGCTCACAGATTGCAGCTGCTCATCTCTGCTGCTCGTATTCATGTTGATAGATCCGATTCACAAAAAATAAAGCTTCTTTTTTTGTTTGGATCCTCACTATTTTCTGAGGATGAAAATTTTAAATCTTTCACCACGTCCAAAATTTTATAAATGAAACTAAACGTTTCCATACTCAGGAGATCTGAATCTGTTTGCAGTTCAGCTTTCAGTACTTCCTTGTGTGTTTTCTTCTATATACTACACGCGTAAAAATTGATCAGGTTGTTCGGCGTTGTTCATTGAACAATGCCCGAACAATGTTGTTATCATGGCTGAACAACGTTGTTCAAGCGACAATCGTTAACAACATTGTTCCAACAACTTGTTCACGCTTGATGAACGAACAATGGTTGTTGCAACATGATGGAACAAGCGTCAACAAGGTTGATGAAACATGCTTGATAAATGTTGTCAGAACAATGTTGTTCAGCGTTGTTCGTTCATCAGGCGTCAACAATATTGTTCGAACAGGCGTTAACAACATTGATGAAAGAACAAGTTGTTTTTAGTTGTTCGAACAACCGTGAACAGCATTGTTATAAATAGACGGTAAAATAATTATTTGAAAAACACGAAAACTTGTTTTTATTGGTTGTTGCGAAGCGCTGGGATGCAAAACGGACGAATGCGACGAATATCACGAGAGCAAGAAATCAAACGGCTGGGCTTTTACAGCAAAATAAATATCGTTTAAACTTTGTGGTTTTTTATGAAGATTGAGGGGAAAATACTGAAGAAAATAACTTGGTAAGTGTCTTGTTTTGAGGTAAGGTTAGTTGTATAGGCTTAAAACAACGCGACCTTTTGATTTTAGTCATTTTCATAGCACACGGACAAACTTAAAAGTACTCAGTTTTATATAGGCATTGGATTTTCATATTTTTCTCGATGTTTTCAGTATACATGCAACAAGAAACCACGGTCATACTGTAATAAAAAGCCGTAAATATAAACAAAACATTTAATTCTCAAAATATTGTTCAAATTTTTCCAAATACACTTTAAATTTCTGTCAGAGTCTTTTTAACTTTGAAATTTGAATATGTCAAAAAAGCTATCATATCATATGTCCTCCGCTCCTTCCGTCCCTATTGTTGTTTGTAATTTTGATCACTGCTATATATAGACAATTCCTACTGTTTTAACAAGGTCAACCAAATACTTGATCAGTTTACACACCCAGAATGATGTATTTTAACTGCATATAATATGTGATGGATAAATTATAGGTAAGTATGTAAGATACTAAGAGTGCAAAGAGTGTATACAGTTAAATAATTAGCCATTTCCCAAAGTCCTGGGTCTAGTCGCACAAATCCCTTGTTTGGAGGGACAAGAAATATGGCAGCACACATGAATTAAATATAAAATATTTAATGTAAAAAGGAGATATTTCAATTTTCGATCATGGAAAATGTTTATATTTGATGGTAGATACTTCTACTCGTTCAATATTTGACGCCTGCATGTCATCATATTTGTTGTCCCTCCAAACGATTCCAGAATTCACTGTGATCTCTTTTGCCGGAAAAGCTAATTGTAGTTACTACCAGCCAGTCATACTTCCTTTTATTTCCTGTGTTAATTAAACAGGTGACTATGATTGTCATGGAAGGTATGAAGGAGGTAGCTATGATTTCTCACATGGCTATGGGGGATAATCATGATCATAATTATATGCTCAAAAGCCTCAAATGTAATTGTCTCATTCTTATCCTTTTTGTAGTGTAAAGTATAAAAATAAAGATCTATAAATATGTCAGACAAATTATATACAATGGATGATCACTTGGTAAGTAATTTTTATACCTTTGTTGTGGTCTGTGTAGATTGAGGCTATTTTGGCAACAGCCATGCACTTAGACATATAGCATGACCAGTCCATATGTGGACTGCCTATGTCCATTAAACATGATTGAATATCCAAATTAGATTCAAGATTATGATATGTCCCAGGCATGGATGGATCCAAAAATGACCATGTAGGCTACTGAAGTTATATGGCATGACCCATGTAAAATATGGTGGGAAACATACAATATTGGGGCTGCATCCCACAATATTAAAACATTGCAAAGGTCCATTTTGTAAATTAATGGCATTATGTATTTATAATCTTAATTTATAGGGCCTGTG